TCAAAGGTAAAATTCCCCACGTGTCAAGCTTGACTCCGGGGGATCTCGTACTATACATACATTTCTGTGGTTCTCTTGGCAACGGAACAGAAAAGGCACCCCACCGCTTTCTCGCCATCCCAGTTTAGCCAACAGACCTGGGATCCCTTACAGTCTCTTATCCGAGGACTAACTGGGTCTGAAATTCTTTAGCTGTTTTGAGATCAGCCACATCTTGCCACTTGCGCCAGGTGATGGACGAACCAGCTGATTTTTGTTTATATATACTGTATATATATGACCCCATTTTCTAACAGAAGTTTGTGGAAATTTCAAACCCTGCCAGAGAAGGGGCACCGAACCTGAACCGTGCCAAGAGGCCTCTCTGTCTTCTTCGAGGAAGACAGGATTGCCTTTGTCTTGTAGAATTTTTTCAGTCCAATCGCAGATGCGGGTAGATTGAGTCAACCAGATCAAATCGTATACCAGAGAATAATTTATCTACACAGACTCATTGACTGATTTGTTCAGCATGCCTTGACATTGTTTCAGTCGAGGCATTTCAGAGACAAGCAGGCCTAACGTCCCACCGCACAGCTTCTTTCAAACTCCTGCTTCTTTCTCTAGCTACCAACTCTGACCCGATGCGCTGGTGGGTCGCAGTATCTCTGTGCACCGTATCACCTTCAGTGTTGCAGGGCTATAAAATCAGTTTAGCAGCCTTGTGCTCCTGAAGATGACATTTTTAGGAAACGGGGGCTTAATCATACTTTAGCCGGCTCGGCCCTTCTCTCCAGAAATTCCCAACCCCTGCTGATGGGGCCGCAGAGAGAACGTCTTCTGCACGGCTCAACCGGCCCTTTCGGCTGAGCGGCAATTTGCTGCTACGGAGTCACGCCCAAGGAGGCTCTTCATGGTTAACCGCTCTTCTGATCAACCGAAACCTGACCACAACCACACCAGTCCTATATCCCTGCCCCCCATGTAAGATCTAATCCTGCTCTCCAGCTCAACCAAGGAAAATCTTTGCCCCCTTTTAGGAAGCCTGAAGCCCCGGCTGGCGGGGCGGTGGGGAGGCAGGCCTGGCTCTCACTGGGGCTGAGAAGCTCAAGGAGGGTGGACAGTAAAACTAGGGGAGGCCAGACTGACGTTCCAGCCCTCTGTCCCCACCTGCTCCTTCTTCTCCTTCTGTGGGCATAATTTTACCCTTGGACACCCAGCAGATATACTGAACCGCCCTCCCAGAGCAATGGACTTCTGTTTTGGCTGGTAGGAAGTTTCTGGGCCTCGTAAAAAAAATAAAGCAAAATGCACAGCCCTGGATCAGGTTGCTGAGAGAGGAGATGGGAGGCTCCCGACAGTGAAGGCCCAAGCTCCAGATCGGGGTGCCCTCGACTAGGCTGCCCGTGAAGCAACCACACCCAGGTGCCGATCTGAACCGCAGGGCCAAGGCTTTGCCCATCCTCTTGCAGCCAGAGGGGTGCAGGGACTAATGGGGGTCTCAAGGGACACTGGGGTGCCTTGCAAGAAGAGCCAGGCGGTGTCCCGGGCAGAGCCAGAGGCTGAGAGGAGATCAAGTTCGAATCCAGACTGAGATAGGAAGTTTGCTGGCATCACAGGAGGAGAGTCGTGTTAGTCTGCAATGGCAAAATTTCAGAAGGAGCCTGGAAGCTCTTTTTCCGACTCCGCTTCTGCCATTTAATAAAATTTGGAAGTCAAAAAAGGTACTTCCAGACTCCTTCTGAGGCTTGGCAGGCAGCTCCCCCTGGTTTAACTCCCCTGCAGGGCTGAAGTGAAGGTAAAATGGAAGGGACGGGGGCACCTTGCGGTCCTGAACTCTCTGGAGGAAGAGCAAAACAGAAAGCCCTGTTGAGAAAGGACTTCCCCGGTGGAATGCGCAAGCGGGAAGATCTGCCCCGTCAACTCCCCAATGCCCAGCTGGAGACACCCCACTGGGCCTGGCCTTGACCTACCGTGGCCGGAGAGGACCGAGAGGTGTGCGACAAGGTGTGCCGGGCGTTCTCCATCCCGCCATGGATGAGATAGGCCCCGGAGCTGGAGACGATCTGGCTGCTGCCCCCGCTGTCCAGGGCGAGGCCCACCATGCCGTGGGAGGGGATGGCGGTGGGAGAGGACGCCCCCGGGCTCACCTGAGAGCTGCCCCCCTGCGGCTCAAAGTAGGAAGAGGCGCTGCTGGGGGCGTAGATCTGGGCCTCCGTGTTGTAGGAATAGGCGGCGCGCCTGCCAGCGAGGAAAGGGAGACGGGGGGAAGCAGCTTGGTTAGCCCGCAGGGACAGACGGACCCTCGGATGAAGGCTGCAGGAGTCTTTGCAGGTCCGAGCCCGCACCCCTTCCCCCAGGCGGGCCTCGCCCGGATCAGAAGAGGCCCAAAGCTGTCCCCCGCCCGCCGCAACTAATTCCCTAGGAGGGAACTGTTCTCCTAGACCCACCAGATGGGCAGGACCCTCCTTCCCTCTTGCTCCGAAGGAGCCTCTCAAAGGCTTCCATTCCTTGTTCTCCACCTGTCGTGCCCACGTGGGCCCCGCTTTGAAGCAGCAGCCTTGGAAGTCCTCTTTCGACCCGCAGTGCCAGCTCCACAAGGTAGACCAGATCCGGAAACAGACTCCATTAGAAGAACTGAAGTCTGCTTTATGGAGGCTCTTGCCAGCCTGGCTGTGCCGCCCTCCCCTCCCTCTTATGCCCAGGAAGTGGGGAGGGGCCCACCTGAGCCTCTTCTGAAAGGACTAAGGGAATGCTTCAGCCTCCTTTACTTATCTATCTAATGGCTTCTGAATCTTGGCTTCGAGGCTGTCATGCTGGCTCTCTGCGCCCAGACTCTGAACTTTTGCCAGGGACCGAATTGGGGGGGGGGGGGGGG